AAAAAAAAAAAAAAAAAAAAGAATGGACCGTGCTCACTAGCTCTACTTCTTGACCCTCGGGGTTCACTCTTCAGCCCCCGTGATCCAACTTCTACGCCATCACTCTGCTGAGACTTTTCTCAACCATAACCTCCTTACTGCCAAAATCTCGTGCCAGTTTCTCACTTCCCCCGTCCTCCAGGCCTCACTGGCGGCCACTGTTGACCACCTTCCAGTATCCAGGAAACCCCTCCTCCCTCAGCTCCTTCCACGCCACTCTCTCCCACGGGCAGGTCCTTCTCTGTAACTTGCAGGTATCTCTTCTTCCATCTGCCCTTTAAATAGAAGTGTGCCTCAGGGATTCTAGTTAGATCTTCTCTTCTTGCTGTACTGTCTCTCCCTGGGCAATTTTATCTGTGGTTTCAGGCTGTAAGGACAGATGCTAGCAGTGCTTAGACCATTTTTACGCCCCGATATGAATGAAACAGGCCATATTCTCTCGAGTCCTCATGGTGGTGGATTCTTACCTGGGGGCTCCCGCCCTGGCAGGGCACTATCAGAAATCTGATGGTTGGGGAGGAATGGCATACAAATAGTTAAAAAGAAACCCCACATATCACAACCCAGGAGAGGCAGGTCCTCCCACCCCTCATCCTGATTGAAACATCACTGACTTTCACATTTCTCTACCCACACCATCTCCCTACAGACTCTTCTATCTACATTTATGGATTTTTCCGTTAGGACTCTCCAGCTGGGAGCTCCACTCCAAATTCAACACACCCAAAATCAAATTCACTACTTTCACCTCATAAGCTGTTTCTTCTCCTATCCTCTCTAGCGGCATCACTGTATTCCCAAGTCATCCAATCCCCCCTCACCCCCACCCCCCGGCCCCGTCTCATCAATTCCCAAGACCTCCGTTGGAGCTGGTTCTCAAGTCCATGCCCCATTTCATCATCTCTCATGTAGAAGATGCTCATAGCCTCCGACCGGTCTCCTTGTTCCCCGTCACCCCGATTCAAATCACCTTACACTCTGCTGCCAGAATGATCTTTCTAGAACATAGATCTCCCCTATTTTAAAACTGTCACGACTCCCTAGAAGCTACAGGTCAAACTTAAGCTTTACAACATGGCTCCAGTGATCTCTGCAACGTCATCTCCCGACACCCCCTTCCATAACCGTACTCTTCCTTCAGCCTTAAGACGCTTACCACGTCTCAGACAAAGGCACAAACCTTCACACTCTCATGTTTTTGTATGAGTCTGGAGGGTCCCTACCCCCACACCCCTTTGTCCATCTGGCAAAATTCTATTCATCCCCTAAGGCTCAACTCAAATGTCACTTCTGCTGTTTAGTCTTTCCTGATTCCCGTCCCCACCCCCCTCTTCCCTTAAATCAATCACTCCTGGTGCTCTCATGGCACTTCGTGCAAAACCTCCAACGTGGCATTTATCAAGCAGGATTGTAGTTAGTTATTTACTCATCTGTCTTCCTTCCTAAATTATGAGCTCTGGAAGGAAAGAGGCCACATGACAGTCATGTTTATATCCCTAGGACCAGAAAGACAGTTCCTCTGAGTATGCTGGAGAAGCATTCAGTACGTGTTTATGAAACAGAACTAAGAAAACCACTGAGCTTTTTAAGCAAGAGACAAAATGAGAGGAATATTTAACATCTGAGATTAAAAAAAAAAAGGCAAAAGACATCTTAACTGCTACCTGCCTTCAAGAGTTTAGCAGCAAAGACTGACATTGTTCAAGCAGATGGAGAGAATTTTAACTTGAATGGGACTTCTGTCACTAAAACACCTTGCAGCTCAAGCCCACTTTTAGAAGGACAATGAAGGAGTGTTTCTCCTTTGAAAAGTCAGTTAAAGAAAGGAAATGCTGAATACTATGCTTCTGAGGTTAGGGTAGACTTGAAATGTTTTAAAAAATAGATCCATCATTTTTACCCATATTTTCAAGATGGAACTTATCTAATAAATGGAACTTATCAAATAAATGCCACATTACTAAACAGGTTAGATATCTGTCTTAAAAAGATTTTACCAAAAAGTTTTAGTCCCTTCTGACACTGTAAAAATATTTCATTTTTATCCCCAAAAGAAAGTGATACACATTATTAAATTATGACAATATGGGGGGTTGCAGTTAATCCATGTTTTTCTGCTGACAAATGTAGTTGAAACTTGTTAGAGTTCACAGGGAGGGTGTTCTTATCAACCGAATATAGAATTGAAAAAGCAGTGAATTCCAAGAAGCAGCTTTTCTTAGCATTTCCAAAAGATGTCAAAATAACCATAAAAATGTTTGTTTTGTCTGAAAAAACATCAGTGCTTTAGTATTCACAGGCCACAGAGAGGTTTGCAGTCAGGACTAGAAATGATATTTCCAGGGTGTCAGTGAGTTGAATCGAGTCTACAGAGCTTTGTAACTAGACTTGCCTGTAGGTGTGAAAATGCTACTATGGTCTGAAAGGGTGATTCCCTTCTCAAAGCTTTCTCAGCTAGTTTCTTTCCATGAATATAAAGATGCACAGAGGCTCAAATTTCAATCAGAAATAGTTTCCTTTGACATACATTCTTTAAAAGCAAAATCTGGCAACAATATCCAGGCTGGCTTACACTGAGAAGAGGCCACAGTCAGGGAGGTAGACCAGAAGGCTAGTGCAATTTAGGCAGAAGGGGATGGGGTTCTGGATGAAGGAAATGACAAGATGGAATGGCAGGGAAGGGACAATTCACCCAGCAATTCAAAGGAAAGCTCCACAAGTGCTGGTGAGTAGAATAGAGACAGAGGACAAAGATTTCCAAACCGGGTGACTTGGAGAATTGACACAACTTAGGGAAATGTTTCATTTCCTTTCGGGATTTTCTCAAATTTCGACATAACTCCTGTAACCCCAAAGTAAAACTGCTGTCAAGATCATAAGCTATGGATTTGTGGCTACTTGTGGCCATATTTACTAGACAGCTAACTTCAAGTCCAGTACTCTGTCCAATTCTGTTTCTGTATCCCATCCACCTATTCATCCAACCATCCTTCCTACACACACTTACTGAGTCCCTTCTATGTGCCAGCATGAATCTAGGGGCTTGGAACAAGGGAGACAAGTACCTAACCGCAGGAAGCTGGTACTCCAGGGACAATAAATGCCTAACACTGTGCCTTTTGCAAAGTACTCAAATTTTTGTTGTTGTTGTTAACTAATTGAATAAAGATTATTCAATTTGTTTAGACTAATTAGTATTAGTCCAGAACAGTAAGACCTCAAGCAAGGAAAATCTCTTACTTACATGTCATCCAAGACAAGTCTCACAACAGCATCTTTAAAATCTACCGTAAGCAAATAACTTTTTAATTGTAAACCACTCTCATTTTTCTCCCTATTCACTGCTGGCTAAACGTTACAAGTTTTAAATGTAACATTAAAACTTAACAAAACAGGGCTTCCCTGGTGGCGCAGTGGTTGAGAGTCCGCCTGCCGATGCAGGGGACATGGGTTCGTGCCCCGGTCCGGGAAGATCCCACATGCTGCAGAGCGGCTGGGCCCGTGAGCCATGGCCACTGAGCCTGCCCGTCCGGAGCCTGTGCTCCGCAACGGGAGAGGCCACAACAGCGAGAGGCCCGCGTACCGCGCAAAAAAAAAAAAAAAAAAAAAAAAAAAAAAAAAAAAAAAAAAAGTCCCTGTTAACGGGGGGCCTGCAAACATCAGGAG